AACAGTTCAAACGGGGTCATGTGGGGGTGAACGGAAATGTCTGGCAGCGTACGTTTAATCCAGATAGCCGGCGATACATTCTCATCCTAATTGTCGTTTCAGCATTTGCACAGCTCTGCCAGCAGCTCTTGCATCCAACCTCCTAGCCTTTCTACTGAGCCTTGCCCTTAGGCATGCTCTGCTGCTCCAAAAGTGATATTCGCTTGTAACCACCGGCACAGGTGAGTCACTACTTCTCCGCCAAACTCTTTATCGCAACGAACCGTCTTGGGGACGCCAAGAGTTGAACAAAATTCCGACAACGCTCCAGCTACTCCTATTGCTTCCTTGGTCGCAAGAGGGAAACCAAAAGGGAATTTGGATGCACGGTCTACCACAAGCAGGATGTACTTGTTACCAGACAATGATGTCGTGTCAATTTTGAGTAGGTCAATCTCAAGTTCATCCCAAGGTTCCAATGGTCTCCCTGGCAGCATCGGTACGCGTCTACTCGTGGGCCTTTTGCGGCGTCTGGAGCTACATGACAAAACGTACTCANGGATGCACGGTCTACCACAAGCAGGATGTACTTGTTACCAGACAATGATATCGTGTCAATTTTGAGTAAGTCAATCTCAAGTTCATCCCAAGGTTCCAATGGTCTCCCTGGCAGCATCGGTACGCGTCTACTCGTGGGCCTTTTGCGGCGTCTGGAGCTACATGACAAAACGTACTCACGGACATCTCGTGCGAGTTTAGGCCAGTGAAAGTGATCCCGAATTAGTGCCAAGATCGCTCCAACTCCTGCGCGTCCATGTAATGTGTGGTCCAACGCGAGGATGTCGGCCACCATGCTTTTGGGGGTCGCTATTACCAGTTTCCCTTTCTCAACCTCGAACCGTAGCACTCCCTTACGATCCAAACTGTATCCTGCTTTACCAGTCCCCCCTTCCTTGTTGTTGTTGCTGTTGTCTTCAAATTAAAAACCGTTCCGATCTCTCTCTACCCAGTACCTTCGTATGTTCGTACTGATACAACACTCGACGCGGTCGATTCCCGTGGTCGCAGGCTAACTTACCCTAAAAAGGTACACTCAATGTGTTGGATAAACCGGGTAGGCCGAAGCTTGTAGGTTTGTGGAGAAAGGCAGCTCGGCCAGTGAGGGCCGAGATGGGAAAGTCTTGTATTAGAGGAAAGAGGGAAGGGCAGAGACCACTCGAGGCCGAGCAGCCGAAGAGTGCGTCACCACACCTATCCGTCACGCAATTCAGATCACTCATCGAATCTCCGAAGAAACCAAGCAGAAACTCCCTGTTCCTCCGCGATCTACCAACTGCAATCTCCGTAGATCCATGTCCCATACTCAACCACATTACTATGCTACGAGTATATCTAACAGCCCCCCTGCTCGTATGCATCGTAATGATACGGCAAGGCAACATAAATCCACTTACGAACCAAAACGTCGTTCCTATTCGTCCGTGACAAACAATGAACCAAAAACTCGATTATGCAAATATTCCTGAACCAAAAACGTCTCTTAGCACACTACATCCTTCAACTCAGAAAACGCTTTGCTATTGGTCCATCTGCTCTCTCTGCATCTCGTCGCATTTGTATTCGCCATACATTTCATCCCTTACGTCTCAAAGGCATTAAACAACCCATTCATGTTAACATAATTATGGAAGAACTCTTCCATCATTCTTTTCCAAAACAATGATCAATCCTGGATAATCGCCTTCGAAATACTGCAGATGCATACAGTCATCCCCAAATCCTACATGAATACCAAGACAACATGAATTTCGCAAGGGATAAAATATGCAT